AATGCAAACAGTGCAACATGAATGTGATGAGGATGATTTCACTTCTTCATGATCTGTCAAAATATGAAACTTGCGCCAACAACTATGTCTGAATTTAATTTTCTATCACATGATGCACACAATACATTCATTCGATTGCTCAGTGCAGATGATTGTGAAATTATAAAAAAGGTTTCACAGTTTATTTACAAAGCCTTTCAAGAAAGAATAGATAGTTGATAGCTTTGAATTATTATTAGTCTTAGTTTTATTATTATTAAACTTATTAGTATTAGTAAAAAATTTAACACATTACATTTTACTTTTATACTTAACATTATAATATTTTCTCTTTCTTTATTATTTCATTATTATTATACTTTTATTGCTACTGTACTGATAGAAATACTGTATTTCTAAAGATGCAATAAATATTATTATTATTATTATTATTGTAACATTCATATCAGAGTTCTGCAAATAATGAACTACATGTACATGTAGAGCTTATTCTTAGGCCAGACTTTTTTTATTCCTCGTTTTGCGAGTTTTTATCAGGCAATTTTTTTGAGGAGGGCGGAAAAAAATTAAATTAATTCTTTTTTTCCCATTAGATTTGTGTGATTCTCAAAGAATTGTAAGTGAGATCATTGATATGAGAAAAGAAATGAAATAAAATTTTATTCCATCATTCCATGTATAACCTTGTTTCTCATCTGCGCGAGACTTTGGTATTTTGATCATGATACTCCCACGAAAATGCAACTTGGATTTGTTATGCGGCAGGCGGCAGGTTCGCGAAACAAGGGATAATAAAAGTCTGGCCTTAATTGAAAAAACTGTGTTACCATATTGTGATTTGTTAGCTGGTGATGTCAACAATTACGTTGACAGTAACTCATTGCTGAGCTGCTTGCTCATAAAATGTGATATTAGAATGAATTTTTAAGCACATACTTCAGGAATATTTTGAATATTGTATCTTTCATTACAGAAAACCTTGTTTCTAATCTTGAGGCTATTCTAAGTTATTTATTCATTGTCACTGACAATACAAACCTTGTTTACAAGACAATATATTTATCAAAGGATAACAGCTTGAGCTGAGTACAGGCTTCTAGATTGCAACCATTTTAGTCGCCATGACAATTAATTTTAATCTATAGGGATTTAAAAATATATTTAGGTCGCCAATTGGTGACTGAAACAAATTCGGACTGGCAACAAAGTCTCTAACAAGCAGATTATACAGATTGTGAACTTTAAATATACACATTTCATTATAAGGCATATTATTGTTATGTAGTTACATATTTTGCAAGTCCATTGATAAACAACACAGTTTGCAGGAGGTGGATATGATTGAAAAAAAGATCTCATCCTGGCAGTGAATCAGTGTTGGCCGCTAATTATACAAGATCTGAATTTTAACATAATTGGTGTTTTTGTGTAGTTTATTTTTAAAACATAATATATTCTGTCAACCAACAATTTTATACCAGGCTACTAAATTTTTTTTCAGTTGGCCACCAACAATATGAATATGCCAATGGCCACTAGAAAAAACAATTAAACTTTGTGGACTGTGTTCTTCACAGAATTTCATGTTTTAATAAAAATCTATGCACTCATTTTAATTTATAACCTTTAAAATAAGTAAAATAACAATTATAGATTTATATGCATAATATATATTCTACATAAGCTAGGGTACTGCACCTTACAAATTTGTAAGCTATTATTGGCATATTGCCAAAATCTCAATACAAAAGTACATTCTTTGTAGTAATAATTGTTCTTCATAGATTAGTTCTGATGGATAGAAGTTGTGCCTTTCACAATATAAATTTTCAGCCACTTACAAATGTGTTTCATGATATGAGTTAAAAACTGCCTGAGAGATTGTGCAGTAATACCTGTGATATCGTATGACAAGATGGTTTCTGCTGAGAAAATTACTCCCAGGATTAAAAAGTTTATACAAGATGGCATAAAAAACTGACTTATATTATTAGCTTTCACAATAGTACCGGTACATACAGGAAGAACTTCTATGTGCTATAGGTATTTATGGAAATGAAAAACTGTGACTAAATATCCCAAAGTAATAGCAAATTCAATTCAAGCTATTAAATAAATTAAAACTTCATATAATCATCCTTCACTATGGCAACATGTACCGTAAAATCTGTATTAGAAGCCGCATCCCTAATAGAAGTCGCACCCATTTTTTTTGAATAATTGAGAACCAAAAATTCATCATTTCTCATATGTGTAGATGCTCTATTAGAAGCCGCATCCCCTCTGTTGCATTGTACCATTTTAATAGAAGCCACGATTTCTAATACAGATTTTACAGTACATGTTTTTGTATTAAGTTGCTTTATCCAAGTTCAAAAGTCAAGAGAATTTAAATACGAAACAAACAGACATGGTAACAATGCACATGTGAATAGAAGACAAGATAGAGATCCATAGTTATACACACAACAGTCTTGCGGCTAAGTCCACAGCTCATGCGAAAAGGAAATACATATTAACCGGTATCCAGGAGTCTTTCAGTTTATATAAATAATGAACATATGTTACATGCAAAAAAGTTGAGGTCTTCAATATTGCATAGTATGTCCCTTTCAATATTGCATAGTATGTCCCTTTCAATATTGCATAGTATGTCCCTTTCAATATTGCATAGTATGTCCCTTTCAATATTGCATAGTATGTCCCTTTCAATATTGCATAGTATGTCCCTTTCAATATTGCATAGTATGTCCCTTTCAATATTGCATAGTATGTCCCTTTCAATATTGCATAGTATGTCCCTTTCAATATTGTGAGGACAAACAATTAAGATATGAATTAAGGTATTTGTGATCATTTGATATTAAAACAGTCATTCTTCAGACACAAGTGTGATGAACAGAGAAGAACTGATTAAGAATTAGAATTGGTATTTGTAAGGATAAGCTCTGTGATGATGATGAGCACATGCAGACATTGCCCATCAGGTTACATTCACAGCTGCAACTGAAATTATCTTTATCAAACATTACCATGGAAACACAAAATAAATAAATAAATAAATAATGAATGAACTGAAAAACGCCTGAACTTTAAGGAGATTAGTGAGATATTGAAATGTTTGATCAATTCAACCGTAGTTTTCCACACAAAAGTGCAGATAATTTTACCTTAAAGTTCAAAAGTGATAATTTTAAAATAAGAACTTTTAGCATATACATGTACAGATATAATTTTGTAATAATGTCAAAGTGTACATCAATTCAGAGTTCTTTCAATGCAGTATTTACAAGTCAACAGTAGCAATAATGCATACAGAATGAAAC